TTGGGTCGCCTCTCTTTGGAATGGGCACAAATATGAATCTCTTCCAATCAGTTGGCCAAATAGCATTTTTCCAATTTTTTTGGCATAGATGCCTCCAACACGGCATCAGTTTATTTCAAGGTTTCAGCTTGTATTCCATCAATTTCTGGAGCCTTGTTCTTTGCCTTCAGTACACCTTGGACTTCTTCCTTTACTACCATTAATTTTTGATCATATGCTACCTACTGACATGACTGGACATCAACCATTCCCTTTTACAACAGTGACTCTGTTTATTTCTTCCATCTTCTTTTGATGCTTTTTGCATCATTCAATATTTTGCTCATAGAATGCTTGAGTATTACACGTTAAATAAAGATTGAATGTTTCCTCTCTTCTTTCAGCTTGAGAAATGCTGAATGTATTGTTCTCTTTTGGTTTTCAAGTTCCAAGTCTTTGCACATTTCATTATAATATTTGACATATGACATGCAATTATATTACCACATCTCAAACATGAACATGCTTTATGAATAAGTATCTTGACCAATGTTACACACACATATCAGGGGGCTGCATGCAGGCTGTAGACCCAGGCAACTGATCCCAGGGTCTGTGCCAGTGGCTCACACCATTTGTCTTTCTGTGTAGGGGGTACAGGACCACAGTACAGCTGTCCTGGCTCAGACCCAAGTGGCACACATATGGCCTGGGCGGTGTCCCTGGAAGCCACAAGAACAACTTTGGTGACCTCAATTCCCAGAGAAGGGAGAGATGGAGGATGGTGGGGGTTCTTACCTTGGCATGTGTTCTCACTCTCATTCCTGAATACTCTCCCTCCAGTAGCGAGCACATATCCTAGGCTGCACACACACCTGTAACTCCCCTCCATGTTCTGACAGTCGGCAAATTTTCCACAGGATACTTCCCAGGGTGGTGAACACTCGTTGATGTCTGGTACACAAGAAAACATAGGCTCACCTGCTGTAGATGTTAGTTCCCTTCGGGTAGAGACCCTGTCCCCACAGCCATGGGGACTGGACAGAACTCCAGTCCTGGGGCTTTCCTGGGTTAGGTTGTGGTTAGCTGTTTTCAAAGGCTTGCTGACCACTCAACTCCTCTCTATTCTCCGGCTGTGCTGAGGGCACCTAGACCTCACATGTGGCTTCTGGAAAGGTTGGTAGGAGGTCTGAATCCCGCTCTTCACTCCAGGACAGGAGGACAGAGGTACCTGCTCAGGATCTGGACCCTCCCTATGACTGTTTGTGCCATTGGGGCCTGGGTGTGGTAAGCTCTTGCTAGGTAGCCAGAGCATTGATGTGGCTCTTCATGAGCAGGCAGAGGATACAGCCTGATGGTCAGGCCATTAACCCTCTTCTAAATTCCTCTTTTCCTTACTCAAAGGGGCCCCAGCACAAGTCTTCCTCCCTCTTGGGCCAGGGTCTTCCCTTGCTCCAAAAGCCATATGCAGAATGTGGGGCAGGTGGCAACCTTTTAAAAAGGTGCCCTATGGTATGGGGCTGTGTGAGTTAAAGTGCTGGACTGCAAGTTCTGTTTGAACTGCAAGGTCGGCAATTCAAGCTCACCAGCTGCTGCTTGGAAATCCTATACAGGGTTGCTCTGGGTTAGAACCAACTCGATGGCACTTAACGACAACAACATGGTGTCCTGCAAGGGGCCCTGGTAAAGTAGTGGATTACAAGCTGGACTGCTAACAGCAAGGTCAGTAGTTGGAATATACCAGTAACTCATCAGGAAAAGGATGAGGCTTTCTGCTCCTGTAAATATTTATAGTCTTGGAAATCTTATACAGGATCACTGTGAGTCAGAACTGACTTGGTGGCACTTAGTGCTGTAGAATAAATACAGGACATCAGGGTCAGTTTGAACCACAAGGATGGTGGTTCAAACTTACCAACCTTCCCTTGGAAACCCTATATTGGGTCACTATGAGCAATAAGGTGAAGAAGAAGGGAGAGCTGTGGCTTTGTAGGATAAGCACTGGACTGTAAACCTCAAGGTCAGTGGTTCAAGTTCACCAGCTGCACCACTGGAGAAAGATGAGACTTTCTGCTCTCACAAAGATTTATAGTCTTGGAAACCCTAGACAGGGTTGCTGTGAGTTTAAACCAACTTGATGGCACTTAACAACAATGACAATGTGGTGAAGAAAGTCTTTGGGTCACAGTTTTTCTCCTGAGGAGGAGAGGGAGGCTCTTTTTTTTATTTTTAATCTCTTTTGCTGAGTAAGTTGTGGAAGAGAAATGGGGAAGTTGCATGAAACTGGTCACAACTCTGAGTCACTTGTGTCTTTTCTGATAACATAGCTGTCCCTCTCCTCTAAGTTCCCAAAGAAGTTGTCCAGGAACCAGCTGAGGGGCTGTTAAAGTAGAGAGTGGACATCCTTGGGTAAAACAAAACAAAACAGAACACCAAAACCAAACAAACAAACTCAACATAATAAAGGACACAAGAAAGAATCATGTACAGGTATAGAATTCTTGTCCTGCACATCAGATCAAGGGACAAAGTCTTTAGACCCTCAGGAGGCTAAGAGGTCATGGTGTTTGACTTTTCCAGGGTACAAGGTATCTTCTCTGTGCAGAGTTCCCCAGGGCTGGGAGGGGACACATCAGGGTGTCCATGTGCAGCCCACATGGGTGATGGGATATCCCCATCTGCTCTCATACCTGGTGGTGATAGCTGAAACCTGGCCTCAAAAATGACGGAATGGGGTGTAGTGTAGTGGAGCAAAGTTGGAAGTGAGGTGCATGTTGTTGTTGTTAGGTGCCATCGAGTCAGTACTGACTCATAGTGACCCTTTGCACAACAGAATGAAACACTGCCTGATCCTGGGCTAACCTCACAATTGTTGCTATGTTTAAGCCCATTGATGCTGCCACCGTGCCAATCCATCTCACTGGGGGTCGTGTTCTTTTTCTCTGACACTCCACTTTATGAAACATGACATCCCTCTCCAGTGACTGGTCCCTTTTGACAATATGTCCGAAGTATGAAAGACGAAGTCTGGTCATCCTGCCCTCAAAGGAGCATTCTGGCTGTACTTCTTCCAACACAGATCTATTTGTTCTTTTGGCAGTCCATGCTACTTTCAATATTCTCCCCCAACACCATAACTCAAATACATCAATTCTTCTGAGGTTACTGAGAATACCATGGCTTGGGTCAGGCACACCATAGTCCTCAAACTAACATCTTTGCTCTTCAACACTTTGAAAAGGTCTTGTGCAGCAGCCCAGGGCAATAAGTTGTTTGATTTCTTGACTGTTGCTTCCATAAGTGTTGATGGTTGATCCAAGCAAAATGAAGTCATTGACAACTTCGATCTTGTCTCCACTTATATGGATGTTATTTATTGGCCCAGTGGTGAGGATTTTTGTTTTCTTTACATTGAGGTGCAATCCATACCATAGGCTGTGGTCTTTGATTTTCATCAATAAATATTTTAAGTCCTCTTCATATATAGCAAGCAAAGTTGTATCATCTACAATATTGCAGGTTGTTACTGAAACTTCCTCCAATCCTGATGACACATTTTTCTTCATATAATCCAGCTTCTCGAATTATTTGTTCAGCATACAAATTGAATAAGTATGGTGAAAGAATACAATGCTGGTGCACACCTTTCTTAATTTAAAACCATTCAGATTCCCTTGTTCTGTTCAAACAACTGCCTCTTGGTCTATGTACAGGTTCCTCATGAGCATAATTAAGTGTTCTAGAATAGTCATATCTCTCAATGTTGTCCATAATTTGTCATGAGCCATAACATTGAAAGCCTTTGCGTAGTCAATAAAGCACAGGTTAAGCAACTTTCTGGTATTCTCTGCTTTCAGCCAAGGTCCATCTGACGTCAGCAATGATATCCCTCATTCTACATCCTCTTCTAAATCCAGCTGTAACCTCAGGAAGTTCTCTTTCAATGTATTATTGACATCATTTCTGTATTAGCTTTAGTATTATCTTTACTTGAATGGGATAACAATGATATTGTCCGATGATTTCCACATTCTGTTGGATCATCTCTCTTTTGAATGGGTAAAAATATGGATCTCTTCCAGTCAGTTGGCCAGGTAGTTGTCTTCCAAATTTCTTGGCATAGATGAGTGAGTGCCTCGGATGCTGCCTCACTTTGTTGAAAGATTTCAATTTGTATTCCATCAATTCCAGGGCCTTGTTCTTAGCCAATGACTTCAATGCACCTTGGATTTCTTTCATCAGGGTCATTGGCTCTTGATCATATGCGACTTCTTGAAATGGTTAAACATGGATCCTTTCTTTTTGGTACAATGACTCTGTGTATTCCTTCCATCTTCTTTTGATGCTTTCTTTGTCATTCAGTATTTTGCCTATAGAATTCTTCAATACTTCAAGTTGAGGTTTGAATTTTTTCTTCAGTTCCCTCAGCATTAGAGGTGCATGGGAGGGGAGGATATGACTATAGAAACTGCTTAAGCATATAAGAGATCTCCTAGAAAGGAGCTGAATCCTGTCTATTTGCTGCAGGAACTTCCTCCACTTCATAAGCCTGTGAATGTCCATAAAAGCACAGAGTAAGGTCCAAGACACATTGTTTCTTAAATTTAATTTCTCTCAAATATTAAATATTACATGCACCAGTTGCTCTCAAGTCAACTCCAACTTGTGGTAACCACGTGTGTGTGAGAGTAGAACTGTATTCACAAGTACATCTGTGTTTTTAGGAAATGGATCACCTGTTTTTCCCCCATAGTGCCTTTGGGTAGACTTTAACCACTTGTACCAATAGTGGTTATGAATCGGGCTGTGAACCATAAAGCCAGAAGTTTGGAACTACCAGCTGCTCCATGGGAGAAAGATGAAGCTTTCTGCTCCCGTAAAGATTTACAACCTCGGAAGCCCTGTTCAGGGTCGCTATGGGTCGGAACTGACTCGACAGCACTTAACAACAACAACAACACCTCCCATGAGCTCCAAATCACACATGAAGGCTTAGAATGGAAAAAATGTAAAATGAAAACAAAGAAAATTGACCACAATGCCACCACACAGTCTACTTACTATAAAACTCTTAGGATATGTTTTCACACCCTCCCAAACATATTAAGAATATTTTCCTTTATTAATAGATTGGAATCTAATATTATCTTGAGTGGATGAAAAAAAATTTCTTGATGTAAAAATGGTGTAATTCCTTTACAATCCTTTACTGTGAAGAACCTGTGATCGAGACCTGTGTTAAGGTTTTATCATCTGTGTATTTGTGTGACATTGGACTTCATTCCACTCTTTGAGTCCAAGTTTTGTCATTTACCAAATAATCGATAGCTCAGTTTACCTCCTGGGCTGCTGTGATGGTATCAAGGGGGCACATCTGTGATGCCCTTGTGAACATAATTATTGTTCAAATGTGAGAAACTTCTGGGCAGGCATCCTCATGAGCTGGAGCCAGTAGGAGAGTCCTGACCATCCGGGTCCTAGGTGGTTCTCTCCTGTTGTTTTCACTATTTGTCCCCTTCATTTTTGCCATGACAATAGTAACAGAATCAATGATGATCACTAGTTCATGCCTGTTGACAGTTTCCTCTGAGCCAGCCTTGTCCTGTGATTTACACAGGTACATTTAATTCTCTCACCATACATGTTTTCACCCAAAAAGGGAGCTCATATCCTGGGCTGCACATACAGTGGTTACTCTCTTCCATGTTCTGGTACTTGATTAGTTATTCCCAGTTTATAGATAGGAAAATGGAGACAAATAATTTCCTAAAAGTAGAAGCTAGTTGGAGGTAAAGTCAAACTACAAACCCAAGTGTCCCAGTTCCACTAAGTTTTTAACACCTGACTGTCCATTTCCTTTATCTCCCCTTGCCCTGTGTCCTCTTTTTTATGCTGTACAAAATCCTTCACACACACACATGCACACACACACACACACACACACACACACGTAAAGAGAGAGAGATAAGTTCTGCTACTGCTTCAGGGATGACGACTTTGGGTGTTATCACTCTCATTTCTGAATGTGGTTATTCTCCTCCATGTCTGGCATTTGATTAATTTTCCATAGGACACTGTTGTGGGTGGTGTACAGTTGATGTGTGGGACACATCAGGGCAAAGAGTCACCTTCACTAATATAAATTTCCTCAGGGCAGAGACCTCATTCCCACCTGACTCCCCAGCACAGGACCTAGCTTTAATCAATGTGTTTAAGAAAGAATAAGGCTCAGGCTGCATCATTGCAGCTGGGCTGTAGACTGACCAAGCCATTTCTGAAGACCACTTAATTGTCTCTGCTCATCTGAGCCTTCTGGCTGAAATCCTAGATTTGGACACAGTGGTCAGAGGCAAGGTGGGGCATAGGTGGGAAGCTGTGCATCCTTCTCTAGTCCTTGAAGGACAAGCAGAGGCAATCCTGGGGGAGGGTCCAGCTCCTCTCTAGGAAGCCATGTTTAGTCACTTCTTATCACTTCAACTCAATGTCTTCCCCTCCCCCCTTTTCTATGCTCTTGTTGATGGTCTCAAGGTCAAGAGATGAAGTGCTCATCCACCACATGTCCCCCTGTGGCATCACCCCACAATCTCTGGCTTGCCCCTCTACCACCCCAAACCTTGGTACCGTCACAAAAGGCCTCCAAAGGGCTGGTGATGATATCCCCAGATGGAGAGCTGAATCCTGGGTTACAGCGACAGGTGTTGGCATTGTCACATGCGGAGTTTGGAGGGCACCAACCGGGACAGGAAACTGTGGGCAGAGGCCGTGGTCAGAAGGTGGGGGCTGAGCTAGGACTGTGGGTGGGCAGGATAGCCCCAGAGGAGGGAGTGCTAGGGCTGGGGGGATAGCCCTTAGCCTCATCCTCCATGGGTTAAGGGTGTGGAGTAGGGGCCCAGGTGCCAGGCTCCTGCAGACTCACCCCTATGTGCACCTTGCTCCCCTGTGAGGAGTCTGGCTTCCAATAGTATCAGCAAGAGGCAGAACACTGAAACAGAAGAGTGGGGGTCAGGAGATACATTTGAGGAAAGGGGACTGTTGACCCCTCAGACTGGGACAACTTCCTTGCATAAGGAATGAGAGTGGGCATCCCCTTTTAGGGATCTAGGTGGGTTTTAGGAAGTGGGGGATGGGGAAGAGGTGTGGGTATCCAGTCACCTGCTCCTCTGCCCTGTGAGCTATGTGGGAGGTGGTTCCAAATACAGGTGGGAGCCAGGCAACCCCGGTCCATATTGGTCAGATTATCTCACCTCTCTGTGCCTTCATTTTCCCTTCTGTGGAATGGGAATGCTGATGGGGCCCACTTACTATAGTATTGTGAGAATCATTCACATAAATACTACCTGGTGTGATTTAAGTGTTTACTGTTATTATAAAGGAAGGGTTGACTAGCTGTTCTCTCATTTCCACACTTAGCACTTACTCATTTACTCTGATGTTTATCTTGGGACACAGTGGTAACAGTTTGCTTAATCTCCTGGATTACAAGAAGATGATGTAGGTTCATACTGAACACCTCACCTTCAATTCTGGTTTCCACTCTCAGAATGTGTCTTTGGTGAATTCTCTTCAGATCACCTGGTGTTTTAAAAGCAAAGACCTCTGTCATTCACCAAAGAGACGGGCAAGGAAATAGAGATGGAAAAAGAATAAAGTAGTAGACAGGGTGAGACAGAGTGAGGGAGACACACACAGAGATGAAGAGAGAAATAGTCAGAGTTAAGGCAGAGTTAATGCTAGAGATGGTGAAAGAGGGAAGGAAAAATAGGAAACATACAGAGAGATCAAGATATGGAGAGATGACTCACGGAGATAGAGAGATAGTGACACCGATAGAGACAAGCAAATAGAAATAATCATAAATGAGGCTGAGCAAAACAGGAAGGGTGAAGTCGGAGGGTTTGAAGGAAGGTTTTGGAAAGACACTTTTTGCCTTAAAGACAACAGCAACAACTCTAAGTACAACTGACTGTGTTCCTGTGGAGTTGGATTAGGCCAGGGATCACACTTGGAGCCTTATCTTTTTTTACTCCATTCCTGTCTAGTTTTTCACAATCCACATACCACTATTTTTCATGCCTGTGACTTTCTCACACTGTTCTCTCTTCACTTTCTATCTCTCTCTTTTCTCTGTGTGTTTTAATTCTCCCTCACTTTCTCTCCACTTATATCACTGTCTTAACACTGACTCTCTGTCTGTCTTCATCTCTCTGTCCGTGTCACTCTGTTCTAATGAATGAATCCTCATCTCAAACTGAATTCAAATATCTCCTCGACTGAATGCCAATGAGAGAAGTTGGAAATCTCTTTTGTTGCCACAGTCATGACTTCTGATGATGACAGGGCTGCCTGTGTCAGGGTCCTGAGGTTTCCACACTGGGAAAGGATGCACCGTCTGGGAGGAGGTGACCATGTGCTGTCCTTGGTCATTAACTCCTTCAGATGTCAGACCATCAGTAACTATCATGTTACCTGCCCAGTCTGATAAATCATCAAAGAAACACTTACTTACCGTGTTTCTTTGATAATTTATTAAGCTTCTCTGTATCTCAATTTTTTTCATCCATAAAATGTAAAGAATAATAGAACCTATCTTGTTGCCTTGTTGGGAAGGTAAATAAGTCAACATGCATTAGATGCTAAGTACAGTATCTGATAGCAAGTTTTGTTCAATAAACTTAAATTGCCACCATCATCATCAAAGGTGCACTGGCATGAGTTCTGGGTCACTGTCTTTTTGTCACTTATGTTTGATATTTGGCATGACTTTGTAGCCAACTAACAGTTTCCAAATCTTCTCATTTTTAGGTTCACATTCTGAGCTTCTTGAAGTATTTCTTTTACACTCTACTGACTGTGCTTCTATGAGGGTGAGTAAACAATTATATGCACTCTGGTTATATTAAAATGTTTGCCCACATCTAAACCTGATGACAACAATGAGTGTGCACATGAAATGATTCTGTTGAATAGAGGAATGAAAGTGAATTATGTGGCAAATCATTTGCAAATCAGCTATGGCTCTTTCTATGAAATAATACACGACAAAATTGGGTTTCAAAAAGTGTGTGCAGATAGGTACCCAAGCAACTCATGGAAGAACATATACAGAAGCATTTGCGCATCTGTAACAGAATTTGGACCGATACTCGAAGGAAGGCAAAAGTTTCTTAAAAAAAATTGTTACTGGTGACGAGACATGGATTCATCACTATGAGCCCGAGAGTAAATAACAGTATGGAATGGAAACATCCTCAATTGCCTACCAAGAAAAAAGTTCAAAAGTCAACCATCAGCTGGAAAATTGATGCTTGAAGTTTTCCGGGATTCTCAAGGGCCAGTAGTAGAACACTATCAGGAAAAAGGATCAACAATCAACAGTGCTCACTACAGTGAAATGCTTACTGAAGAGCTGAAGCCTAAGCTTCAGATTAAATGCAGACAGGACTACTATCCAAGGGTGTCCACACACCTCTGCCCACAGTGTTGACATTCTGCAAAAATTCAGTTTGAGGTGTTTAAGCATCCTTCCTATAGTCCTGATCCATTGGACTTTTACCTGTTTGGTCCCCTGAAAGCAGTCCTTTGAGGATGAAGATTCACCTTTGATGTAGAAGTGAAGACAGTGGGTACATTCATGGTTCACAGTTTAGCCTAAAATAGTTTTTATTTAATAAGGGAATATGAAAGATTGTTGACAGATGGACAAAGTATATTGAAGAGCAAGGAGATAATGTTGAAAAATGATATATTTGTCTTTTTAAAAAGTTGATTAAAATAAATTCTACAACCTGAGTGCAGTTAATTTTTTACTCACCCTTGTATTCTTTATATCATGGAACATGGAGCAGGAGAAAATGAGTCCTAATGTCCTTTGTGCTTGAATAAAGTCACTTAGAATTTTGAGTGTGTTATATGCGCACACTGTCTTAGTTATCTGGTGCTGCTGTAACAGAAATACCATTAAGTGGATGGCTTTAACAAACTGAAATGTATTCGCTTACAGTTGAGGATGCTTGAAGTCTGAATTCTGAGTGCCAACTCTATGGGAAGGCTTTCTCTCTCTGTTGACTCTGGGGAAAGGTCCTTGTCTCCTTTCAGCACCTATAAGCCTGGCATTCCTTGGAGAGCTCCATGTATCTTAGTAGCAGTATTTCCCTGGGTCTAGGAGTTTCTCTGGTAGCATAGTGGTTATGAATCGGGCTGAGAACCGCAAGGTCAGCAGTTCAAAACTATCAGCTGTTCCGAGGGAGAAAGAGGAAACTTTCTGCTCCCATAAAGATTTATAGCCTCGAAAACCCTGTACAGGGTCACTATGAGTCGGAACTATGAGTCGGAACGGCACATAACAACAACAATTCACTGAGAATCATGGTCCACCAGCTAATGTGACATGCTTTTTTTTTTTGGTAGACGTGGTAGGGACACATTTAAATCTATGCCATACATCCACAAATTTAAATGTCTTGAGAAAACTAACTTCACTTTCCACTTCCTTTAAATTACCAAAGCATTTATTACACTTAGTCATTAAAATGTGACCAGCTTAAAAAATCCATATTCCATAAATCAGATGATTATGACAATTTTCAGAAAATATGACTAATATTTGAAAAACCAGGGAACAAAAACAATCCATAAGTTAACTATAAAAAGAACATCTACTATATGACAGACTAATAGTAAAAAATAAATAAATAAATAAATAAAAAACCCCACAAAATAACCTAGTCATACTTAGAGGTATAACTATGAGTTCTGGGAAGTTAACCATGGGTATGTTAGAGAGAAGATAGCATCTAGGCAGTTGTTTCCTTTATTAATTCATCTATATCACATGTCATATTTAAGATAAGAAGTCTATCTGAGACCCACAGACAAAGATCAAAACTTCTCCATGCTGGGTTTGCTGGTCTCCACATCATGAGCAGCAGGATGTAAGATTGCGGCCAAATAAGGAGCTCTGGTAGCGTAGTGGTTACGAATTGGGCTGTGAACCTTAAGGTGAGCGGTTGGAAACTACCAGCCGCTCCGCGGGAGAAAGATGAGGCTTTCTACTCCCGTAAAGATTTACACCCTTGGAAACCCTGTACAGGGTCGCTATGGGTCGGAACCGACTCGATGGCACTTAACAACAACAACAAGTAATTTATGACAACTTTAGATTAATCAGAATGAAGCTGATCTCATTGATAACAGTTTTCACCAATTCAATACTATTGCCCTTCACATCCTTCCAAGACCCACACAAAATCTATTGACTAAAGAAGATGTGATTCTTAGCAAATTAGATTTTTAAGAAAGTTAGTTTATCTAATCCTATAACAACAAAAACAATATGTTATTAAGTGCTGTCAAGTATAGATGGTAAACTAAGAAATTCTCAATAAGTCTCAAAGTTTGCCCTAGGAATTAGAAACTGCCTAGATGGCAGTTTCACTGCCATCCTCCTTTGAGAATTGAATGTAAATGAACTAACATCTTATTTGTTCCCTTCTCTCCCTTATAGAGATAGTAGGTAAACAATTAAGGAATCAAGCAAAGGAGAGAAAAGTTTCTCAAGCTGGATAAAGAGCATCCAGATTCTTTAGTTATATAAAGTTATAATAATTAACTTACCTGGCCACAATCTTAGATCCCTGCTGCTCATGGTATGGAGACCAGCAAACCCAGCATGGAGAAGTTTTGATCTTTGTCTGTGGGTCTCAGAAAGACTTCTTATCTTAAATATGACATATGATGTAAATGAAGTAATAAAGAAAACAACAGGCTAGATGTTTTCTTCCCCTTAATACACCCATGGTTA